AAAGTCACACACAAGTGTTGAGGACTTTCCTTCATAGGGTCATTAGGAGTTGCCTATGACTCAATGGCACTTATCAACAATAACATCAACATAGAAAGTGATCAGTTGGCCTAGTGGACAGAAAGTGATGCTACCAAGCCAAAGGTGGGTGATATCTAAGCCACAGCCCTCAGGCCTGTTTTTCAATGCTTTTTTTCAAACATTCTTCTAGGTAGTATAGACTCACCAAAGCAATATGATTGGTGCTTAGATGAGTAGAAAGAGGTATGAGAGTGTGGAAAGGTATGTCTGACCTCATGGAAATTGGTTTTGTATTACTGATGGTGTGGATGGAGAAAGTTTTCCCCTGTGAAGTTGGTAAAGGTCACATATGGCCATCCCCACATGGTTCTTGATCATTTTACACCTGGTGTTCTTTAGAGGCAAGGATGTTTCATTAAAGTTCATCTCACATACTCAGGGCATCCTTAGGAGGAGTCAGTCTTTGGAGAAAAGACATACTGGAGAGGGAGAGGGTCAGCAAAAGACAGGAAGACTATGAGATGGACTGATACAGTGACTGTTATCAATGATCTCAAGTATATCAGAGACTATAAAATGGCACAGGATAGGGCACGGTTAAGATCAGTTACTCATAGGGTCATTATGAGCTATACTTGACTCAATGACACCTAACAACAACAACATCCTGAAGCCTGGAAGATGAGATGATGCCTGGCTATCACTACTACTGGGAGTTCTAATCAAGGCCATAATAGCTGGGTCCTGCGAGAATGGGAGACAGATGCATGGGAGAACTCATAATCTTAAAAAGTCCAGACTTACCGGATCAATTATAACTAGAGGACTCCCTGGAACACTTCATAAACGGCTGAAATGAAGCTATCTACTGAGGCCATCTTCTAGTGAGCAGACCAAATAAAGAGTATTATCTATGAGTATGGTTCTCCATTAAAACACTACCTAAATGAAGCCACAGGGGAGCTGTAGTAGCATAATGGTGAAGGAGTTGCACTACCAACCGAAAGAAGCTAAGTTGTTTGAACTGATCAACTGCTTCACAGGACAAAGGTGGGCAATCTCCTCCTGAGTGGTGTGAAGCCTTGGAAACCCAGTGGAGAATGAGCTATGAGTAGCTGTTGTATATGAGGCTACAAGGTCAACCATTACTCTACAGTAAAGATGAGAAGACAGGGGTGCTGGGAAACTATAGAGTGCCAGGATTTAATTACAGAGAATGCTGAAACATTGTGAAAGATGTCAGTAATGTCACAGAACCATTTGGATAGAGATTGTCAAATGGGAACTTAATCTGCTAAGTAAAGGTTTACTGGAAAAACAATGAAATATTGTGAAACAGTTTTTAAAAATCACAATCTCTTCACAACAAATAGTACATGCCTCCAAAAGATATACTAAGAATTTCCCCACACATATCAGAATCTCATTTGAATTTTATTTAAATGAAGTATTTCCCATGTCAGGGTTGCTACTGTAAGCTAAGAGTAGACCTGCTCCTTCAGAATGTATTTGCACTGGATGACTAGCAGATGTTCTTGCTAACAAGTCATGTTACCATGTACAGGTGAAAAGTATCATCTTGTGTTTTGAGAAAAGAATTTTACATGTTTCCAAAATAATTCAAATTTGTTTCCAACAAACATTCAAAGTGGAGGTGTTTAGAATCACAACATTCTTCTCAAAAAGGTTTGCATGACTCAGTCTACAACAAAGAATAAAGCTGCAGAGAACAAGTGTCAATGCAGAAAACACAAGAGGGAGCTAGAGGGCAGTCAATAATCATACCTGAGTAAGGTGGTCTCCTGTGTGTTGTGTTATGTGTGAATGTGGGAGAAGAGGTGTTAATTATTAAGTATTCAGACTGCAGGGGTCTTCCCAGTAGAAATAAAGTGAAGCTAATAAGAACAAATATCTCTGGTACTTTGTAATTTGCCCTCAATTTTTCATTCAGGCCAAGATCTTTGGTGAGTCTTGGTCTTCATTGAGCCAGTTTCACATGTATATTATTTCAGGACCTATAAGAGTTTAGCTAATAGATTTTAGTATGCCCCAGAATTCTAAGTACTCTGAAGAAACTGGTCATATAGCTATGTGAGTATGCATGTGTCTACGAGAAAGTAAGGAGAGAATTCGGCACACAGCACATACAATACTGATACTCAGAGATGCCCAATTTAGAGTGAATAAAGGAAGACGTGTTGCTGTCTACAGACTGAATTACAGGTAGGTATTTTCAAAAGGTAAGTATAAAATCTGACTCAAAAGTTACCTAGACAAAACAATAAAAGGCATTTAAAAAAATCTGAGCTTCTTCAGTTATAATTCTACTGTTTTGATTCTGAATCCTGGAATATACATCAAGTGCGGATATCACAGCATACTGTGCTCTAACCAAAAGTCTGTGTCTCCCTGGAGGTTCAAATCCCTGAAATGTTACGAGAGAAATCAGGGCAATCTCCTCCAATTAAGATTTACAGGCTCAGAACCCCAATGGAGTATTATTGTTACATGTCAAAAGAAACTTGATGGCAGTGAGTTTGAGACACCAACAAAGACATAACTGACATTTCATGTTTCAGGAGTTGTAATGCCCGCTGTTTTTCACCCTTTTCCAAATTTCTGACAGATTTTTACAACTTTCTTGCCAGATATATTTACGTAGAAATAACCAACAAAAACTCAATCTGTTGCCTTTGAGATGGTTTTTGCCTCAGAGTGAGCCTACAGAAGAGTAGAACTGCCCGACAGGATTTCTGAGGCTGTCAATCTATATGGATGCAGACTTCTACATAGTGCTCCTTCAGAATGGTTGGCAGCCTTGAACTGCTGACCTTCTGGTTAGAAGGCAAGTGTTCAATGCAGGCAGAGAGCATAAGGGAATTCCTCCAGAAATGCAAAAGCAATTCAAATATGCAACTGGGAGGCAGAGGTATTTAAAACCAATGAAACCAGAAGCAAGTTCCTGCCTGCTTCAAAGCACAATACTTAAATTCCTTCTCTACATTATTAATATTGGTCCTCAGCAATGAGAACGCGCTGTGGCGTTATTTCACCCGAGGGACCTCTAAAGCACTGCTATTTCCTAATAAATTGAGGGCTGCTCTGCTCTGGCTTTGCTACAGCTTATCTGACACATGAGCTGTTAGGAGCCTGCTGTAATGTCAGCTCTGGGGCGCAGAGACCCCAGACCTCAAGGCCAGATTCATGTCATGTTATGGGCTTTTTGTTGTTGCTGGGATTTTTTTTTTAATGTAAAACAAAAAAATATATACTCAGTCTTTTTTTTTTCCCCAAAAGAGAAGAGATCAGGATTTCTGAGGCAGCCTGCATGGCTTCACCCACCTACTGCAACTGGCTCCGGTCCAACAGCCCAACATAAAAGACACTAAAAAACTAACAGATCCGCTTTACACCAAGACACAAGTTTTGTGTTGGTTTTTTTTTTTCTAACAAGTGAACAGTGCTCACCAAATGTCAGTTTCAGATTTGTCTATGGCCTAATTCTACTGATTATAAGAATGTCCTCCATGTGGTTGTTTTTTCATCTAGACTTGAGGCTGAGGCTTAGTCTGATTCATGCACATTCTCAGTACCCAATTCAGAACCCAGCTTGTACTACCAGTAACCAATCACTGCCAAGTTGCTTCTAACTCACAGTGATTTCACATCTGTCAGAACAGAACTGTGTCTCTTAGGGTTTTTAAAGGCCAGGTCTTTCTAGGTAATCAACCGGCAACAGCTCTTATTGCTACTATCCAAGGGCTCCTACAACCCTGCTGAAATTACGCAAACCAAACCAGTTGCTGGTAAATTTACCTCAACTCATGGTCATTCCCAAGTGTGTCAGGGCAGAACCTTGCTCCATAGAGTTTTCAAAGGTTGGTATTTTAGTGGTGGGGGGCTGTGAAGGAAGAAAGACCACAGAACTTTCTTATGAGTCACTTACTGCCACCTAATCCCAGCCAATCCTCCAGGGTATTTCCCTGACTTTAAATCACACCGGAGGAAATGATCTTTCTCCTGTGACACCACTAATGGATTTGAACACGCAGAGGAGCAGCCTTTAAACTAGCAGCTCAACTCCCTATGGATTATTCCAACGCTTCTTGTTATTATTGAGAACTAAACCACAGTTGACTCTTAAGCGGGGTTTCAGAGGCAGTAAATCGCCTAAGAGGCAGTTCAAGAAGCTGCGCTGCAATCCTAAAGGCACAAGGTTGGAATCCACTGGCTGCTCCTTGGGAGAAAGATGGGAAATCTCCTTTTGTACATCCACTTACTGCCTCTGAAAACCCACTGGAGGATCAGCTATGAGTCAGCTTTGATTCAATGACAAATAACAACAACAAATCACTAGGAAGGTGATTACTCCAGAGGTGTTGCTGGTGGTTTCGAAACCTGTAACTTTGCATGTTGTTGTTATGTACCGTTGAGTAGCATGCGACTCACATCAACCCTATGTACAACAGCCCTAAACTCTGCCCTATCCTGTGCCAATCTCACTGTCTGGCATATCTAGCCCCATTACCCTAGTCACTGAATCAATCCACCTCATCGAGGGTCTTCCTCTCCTGCGCTGTCCCTCTACCCTCCCAAGCATGACGTCCTTCTCCAAGGACTGGTCCCTCCTTGCAACATGTCCAAAGTATGTCAGACGAAGCTTCAGAATCCTTGCCTCCAAGGAGCAGCCAGGCTTCACCCTCTCCAGGACAAACGTGTTTGTTCTCCTAGCAGTCCATGGTAATTCAATACTCTTCTCCAGCACCACAGATGCATAGCAAGTGATTGCAATTCCTTACCATCCAATATCAACCACCAGCAGCCACCAGAGCTCCGCCCACTCCCCGTATCTAGACTCCGATCTCCAAAGGTTTTAATTAGCTGTGCCGTTTGTTACTGGTTGGCACCATCCCGGACTCCAATAATACAAAGAATAAAAGCCCCGGGTGGTATCCCCAGTGTCAATGCCCAGAACCCACCTATTTCCATGCCCAGGGAGGAGTTGAGGATCGCGCCCGCGGACATGACGACGGCACAGCTCCCGAGGCCGCGCGGGTGCAGCTGGCTCAGTGGCACCTTGGGTACATGCCGCTCCCAGCCCAGCGCGGAGAAGGGTGCCTCCTTGCCGTCCAGTGTGCGCACGTGCACGCGGCTGCGCAGCTCACACAGCAGCTGCTCGCGGCTCAGCCTCCCCTCCCGCTTGCCGCGGAAGCGCACGCCATGCTTGTTGGTGTTAAGGTAATCTCGCATGGCCTTTTGGAGGCGCGGGTTGAGCATCTTGGAGGAGACGTTCCCCTTCCAAAGCCGGTAGAGAAAGGCCTTGGACATGGTGGAGTAGAGTCTGTCCCAGTCGTTGCCCTCTTCGAACATGTGGCTTCGTTTCTGCTTAAGGTGCTTTTTCTTCGTCCGCTTCCTCTGCCCGTGATGCACGGGCAAAGTCCCTTCTCTCTGGTCTTGCTGCCCACGGGACACGAATGGTGGCACCTCCTGGGTGTGGCTGTGGGGCACTGGCTGACCAGCAGCAAAAAAGTAGACGTCATCCCCCTGGTAGAAAGCACTTTGGGATTTTCGCCAGATCTGGGATGAGAACAACTCCTCTTCGTTTTCAAAGTCATCTTTCAAGCGGGCCCATCTCTGCAGGTCGCTAAGCTCCAAGTTCAAGGGCTCTGAGAGGTCTTGGTCCAGCAGCACCTTGTTGCCATCTGCGCCTTCTGCAAAAGAAGGCTCGTGCATGGCGCCCATGATGGCTCTCTGCTTTCCTTGGATGGGCAGCAGTCTTTGGGTCTCCAGGAACGAGAAGGAACTCGGCACGGGCTCAGCAGGGTTACTGTCGGTGAAGTAGATGAAAATCACCAAAAAGAGGAGCCCCCAAGCGAATATCCCAAAGAGCATGAGTTGTTTCCATTGCTTCAGGTTCGGTTTCATGGCAGGTCCCAGGGTAGCACCTTTGGATCTTAAAGCAGTGGGTGGTGAAATGGACCTGAAAAATAACCAGGTGCTGCAGTTAGCAACTGCTCAGAGACTGCATTTGGGGACACTGAATTTAAAGTAAGGGTTCTTTAGGGGCAGGCTACCAGGGTATTAGAAATCAAGAGTCCTCTGGGGAACCCTTAGCTACTCTCGCCCCAACTTCCATTAAGACAAAAGCGTTTTCTTTAAGAATCTTTAAATAAAGAGTAGAAGGGTATATATTTTTACTTAAACTTGCCCAGATAAGGCAAGTTCTGGTGGTGTATTCCATAAGGAGGTGCAAAGGCCCCACCCCTCTGGCAATTTGAATCCATCATGGGCTCCTCAGGAGAAAAGACTGGCAATTTTCTCCATCAAGATTTACAGCCTCAGAAAATTGGCTGGAGAGTCTGATATAAGTCAATTCCCATTGCACAGCATTCCATGAGACAGAGTTGCCCAGATGATGCAGTTAACAGGTCTCCTCACATTTTCAGACACATCCCAGCAATATCTACCAGCATGTGAGTCTCTAGAACACCATCTGGTAAAACAGCAGGAAAGGTAAGCATGGTTCACGCTCCCTATCTGCTGCTTAGACAACGAAAGGCCCACTGTTCATAGATATCTCATTAGAACCACTTACAGTTCAAATGGGCAGCAGCCATCTCAGATTTGACATAGTCTCTCTAGGCCCAGAAGGCTGCGTGGAATGTACCAGAAGCTCATACACACTGTTGAGTGGCTGTGGTTCCTCAGGGGTAAGTTATGCCAGGGTGCTTGCTAACTTCAACAGTGCCCCCACAGAATGCCTCCTACTTCAATCATCCTGGGAATCAAGTAAAATGCAAGCAGAGTGTGTTAAAATTTTAAATAAGGGAGAGGCAAGAAAGGAGCTTGCTGATTCTAGAGGAGACTCCAACAGAGAAGGATTGAGAAAGGAGAAAGATGAAGACTGTAAGATACAGTGAAAGGAATAAACCTCTTCCCTATAGTTTTGCAAACCAATATTTATTGCGATGTGGGCAACACAGTGCTTGGTACTAAGGGAAACCTAAAATATTAATAAGAAAGGCTCCTTCAAGGAATGTAAGCAAAGCCCCAGAAAATGAGAAACAGAAGGTATGTTTGTGGAATAATAATTGAGCTGCTGGAGCTCAAAGCTGACTGTATTTGTTTAGTGAATGACGTGTGTGCAAGTGTGTATGTTGAGGGCAGGGTTCTAAAGTATGTGTAAGTGTGTGTGTGAGTAGTGGTACAGGATCATGGGAGACCATTAGACCATTTAGGGAAAACTGAAGTGGAAAAGTATTCCCTTCCAACTCTAAAGGCCTTGAGTGCCTGCTTGAGTGTATGTGTGAGATATTGTATGAGAAACAGTGAATGAGTGAAGTTTATCTGAGCAAAGATGTAATTCTAGGTAGGCTTTTAAAAGATTGCTTTGTGGCAGGTAAAGCAGAGGCAGGGAGGAGAGTTAGGAAGGTAATAGGAGGATGAGGAGGCCATTAATAGAAGGCAAACATGCAGAAAGCAGAGTTTCCAAGAAGGATGAGCTCACAAGCGAAAATCCTGATTCCTCCCACTCCTTCCCTAGCCCAAGCTGATGACAGTGGCAACACAAAGGCGCTCTATCTACACAGGGACTATCTGCACCATAAAGAGAAATGAAGTCTTACATATGCTCTGACTTACCGAACCTTAATATTATGCTGAGTGAAGTAAGTCAGATGGAAAAAGATAAATACTGTATGATCTCACCTATATGAAATAACTAGCGTAGGCAAATGCATACGACTGAAGTTTAATAGGGATGAGATGGAAAGGGAAAAAGGATGGACGTTATTGATTAGGAACAATGAGCATCTGTTAAAGGTGATTTAAAAATTGCAAAGGGATAGTGGTGAAGGTTGTTCAATATGCTAAATAAAATTATAACTTAATGGACAGAAAAAATAGGGAGTGGTCCCAATGGTGGCTCCTCTCTGGCTCCACAGGAGAAAAGAGGGATGGCCTCTGTGAGGTATCTGAGTGTGAAATTTTCACTCAGAAAAAAATGAAGTAAAAATGGGGTGCTATTTAGGTCATTGTCCCCCTGAGTACGTGGTTTTTAGTAGGGAAAAAGAATATGTTGATATTAAAAAAACAAAACAAACAAAAACCCCACATCTTTTTGTGTCTCTATAGCAGATTAAAAACCCAAACCCTGATATGTTGCCATTGAGTAAATCTCAATGCACAGCAATCCTACAGAACAGACTACATGTGCCCCAGAGAGTGTCCAAGGCCTGTCCATCTTTATGGAACCAGACAGTCTCATCAGTCTCCCACACAACACCTGGTGGGTTTGAACTGTTGGCCTTTAATAATTGCTCAGAGCTCCCTGGAGTATTAAAGATGGGAACATTTTTACACTCCCCCCCACCCCCTACTAAGAGGTAGTCTCTTCCACTTGAATGCAAGAGAGCTCTGTGATTATTACTTTTTTTAAAAATTTATTATTTCAATGAAAATTTACAGAGACTTTAGATTTACATCCATTCATTGTTGATTACTACTTTTGATAACAGAATATGGCGATGGCAAGACTATTATGGAAAACAGGTCCAATTCATAAGGAGACTAGCAGCCCAGTCAACTCAGAACCATACTAGATAATGAAAATATGCTTTGATGTGGTTTGTAGAACAGATTAAAATTACCACGTATAGAGGGTGGAAAATGTTTCCAACAATAAGAGTTGAGCCTCTATTGAAAAATGGTTTAAATACTTAAGTTGTGGCTTTAAAAGAAACAAACAACAACAAATAAACCAAACTTGCTTTACCATAAACTCACATGGAGGTAAATCTGTAGCTTTAAAAAAACACTAAAAATACATAAAGTATGCTTTCAACGCCACCCCCAAAAAATGACCACAGAAGTAATACCAGCAGTTAAACTGTTCAATACTGTGTTAACTCACTTGATCTTAATGAGAAGCAGGTTGCATTGTTATATACAATTTAAAGATGGGGACAACTGAGTCTCCAAGAAGTTATATAACTTTCCCAAAGACACAGAGATAGTAAATGACAGACACTGCATAAACAGCCCAACAGGTGAACTCCTGGAATTGTACTTATAACCCTGAATTCAGATTCCAGCTGATTCCGTTGATTCCATTGTGTTGTTACTGTCAGATAGCATTGTGTTTATTGTACCTCACCATGTCCCTGTGCACAGCAGACCAAAACACTGTGAGTGTTTTTCACCATCCTCACAATCACAGCTGTGCTTGAGCCCATTTTTGCAGTCACCCTGTCAACCCATCATGTTGAAGGACTTCTTTTTTGCTGTCTATCCAGCATGGCATCCTTCTCCAGTGACTGGGCCCCTCTGATAACATGCCCAGAGTGTGTGCCACGAACTCTGGCCATTCTCACCTCCAAAGAAATTCTCAAATAGCTACATTTACAAATTGGGCTTCTCAAACAGTCTTTGCTGAATGATCATTTTCCCACAGATTTTCACAGGTACTTTCATACTGTCATGTTTAATATCTTGACAATGTGCAATTGCTATAAAAGTCTCTACATGCCAATTCTCAATCCTGTAACCATCTCACCAGATGAAACAGTGTGTGGATATACACAATCTGGAAACAGCTGCCACGAATTCATCTCTCAGCACAAAATACTACCCAATCCTGCACCTTCTCCATAATCAGCTAAAGATGGGAACCTGGTGCTAAATGAGGTTTTCATTTGCAGACTTTGGGAAGCTAACCACTAAGCTTTTCTTCCTAGTCTAGAAGCCCAGCTGCAGCTTGTTCAGCTTTGGAGCCACATGTAAGCCTCCACTGACACACAGGTGGTGCTTGTACATGAAGTGCACTGACTGGGAATTGAACCCAGGTCTCATGCATGGAGGGCATGATGTCTACCACCAAACAACCGAGTAGCACTTTTAAGTAATTTATCTAAATCTGCAACTCATGAGATGGTCTTATAGGCTGCTCTCTCCAGCTTGAAGGTATAAAGATGATGCCAGTGTTCCAGCATTCCAAATAGAAAGCATAGTTACGCTGCGGTTACTGCTCATTTAAAAAAGCAGTCTTTTTGCTTCTGGTGTGCAGTTGACATAACCTGACTCCTTACACTTAGCAAAACTGTGGTAGATCATGCTCTGGTGAATTCTAAAGAATAAAGAAGGCATCCTTATTTGCAGACATCTGCTTGTGAGAACATTTTTAAGAGTTCAAGTGTGTGCAAAGAGTGGAGGTATTCTCAACAAGAAGAAAGAAGCCATGGTCTGATGGAGTGGAAGGAGAAACTCTCTAGCCCCTGAAATGTGGTTCCCACCAGGCCGGATGACCTAACGTTCATTCACTTAGGCCACATCAAGAGGCCACAGCCTCTTGGGCTGAGAAGGTGAAGATGACCTCCCTTCAAGCCCAATTAAGTTTCCTGGCAGGATTCAGAATAACAGACCAGAGACTTCATCATGCAGAAATGGCTCGTTCTGTAACTGAACAAGACATGTCGATAGACATTAAAGGAAAGAGCAATAATAAGAAAAGTTCTGGGTATACAAGGAAAGTAAAGAAAAAGCTTAGAAGGAAAGAGGGGGCTGCCCTGGGGCCAGGACTCCTGGGACACATTATGTTCTCAGCGAGGCACGCTGAGAAGCACAAAGAGGTAGTGCTTGGGCAGCCCTCTGAGAACCACAGAGGAATGTATCACAATGCGGAAAACTACAATTTTTCATTAGATGAGAATTATGTTGCTCCTAATACACAGTAATAATAGAAAGGAATGGGATCACCGCCTCAGCTCACAATTAGCCTTCGACTCTGAATAATCCAGAAGCCTTCACTGCAACCTTCTGTTGCCAGTTAAAGGGACATTCTCCAAAATGATTCCATCTAAAGGTAACTAACAGTAAATTCTCTGCTTAGCTAAACACTACAGTAGTATCAAGGGTGTTTGTCATCAGCA